AAAACATCCTCGGGCGTCTTCCAAATCGAACACACGCCCTTTCGCCCGAGCTAACACCATCGGCAACGCCGAAAATCACGATAGTTCCGCCGCCAAGGACCCCAAAGCGCACCTGGTTCAACACCCCCACCCCCCCTAACCCCCGGGCAGACACAGATTTCTTACGAGTTCTTCCGCGTGTTTTCCGGTCAATTTCGATAGATTCCCTGACGCACTAGCAAAAAATAAAAATCTGAGCACACGGCACTTCGAAAGTTATGTCACTATGATGGAAAGACCCACAGCCCCTACGACAAGATTTGGGTACAGAGCTCGAAGTTGACAAATGTTGACCATCTTACGGCGCAAAACCGCTAGTACAAATCTTCTTGATCCCCAGAACGCCCCGGTCTCGACATCAATCTAGTCCCTGCTAGGCGCCAGGACTACTCTGAACCATAGCCGTCGTCATCGGACTCGTCTTCCTCAGAGTCCGCTTCCAGACCCGTCGTCGTCCGAGTCACTTGCTTCGCTCTCCGAGGACGACGAAGGTGCAGGCCGGCAAGTCTCCATCAGCACTTTTTTAATTCTCGCCGGGATGTTACCCGTTGAAGTTAGCGAACTGCAGCATGCGATAATGCGTGTGATAGGCTCGTCGCTGGCATCGTGCGTTCTGCGCTTCGCGCCGCTCGTTAGGATGAAATCCTTGCTGAAACGCGCCACGGCATAGTCCTCGACAGTCGCGCTGCCCGCTCCCGCCCTAACGGTATTGGTGATAGGCCCATATCTNGCTCCCGCCCTAACGGTATTGTTGATAGGCCCATACCAGTGGATGTTGACGTTCACCGGCGAGGCGTCTGCAGCTATGCTCAGCACCTCCCCCAGCACAAACGGAGCTTCCTCCGCCTTGAAGAATGCGATGTCGCCAACGCTGGGTGGTGTTAGCGACGTTGGACGCACTGGGTTTAAGGCCTTTCTCTTAGAGGGCTCTGACACCCCGTTCGCCCGAGAGGGTGTGTTGTCCACTCCGTCCGCGGTCGCGCCCGCAGAGGGAGGCAAAGGCGCTGGCGGGATCGCCGTGTGGAGCCATTCCGTTGGGAGGTCGAAGTTGTTGATCGTTCCTCCGGAGCGCAACAACTTTAGCGAGTCGCTCTGCTCAGCCAATAGAGCGTCGACCACACCGTCAGGAGCTGCAGAGAAAGTGAGGTTCATGGAGGGACACGCAAGCGAGGGCGCGATGAGATGGCAGTATCAACGTTTACAAGTACGTAGACGTTGTGGGTCACAAGCACACAAGTACGAAGACAAGTACTTCATGTTCCTTTGCCCGGCTATCATCACGCTCTGGGCTATCACGCCTGTGTCCATACTACATATCCACCAGCTATCACGCGGCCAGGCTGTCACACCTCTAGGCTATCACGCCATCACAACAGCTATCACAACACCAGCGTCAAACACATCAGAGCCATCACGCTCCGGAACATCACAGATAGATGCGGCGGGTTACCACACCCGCGGGCAATTTACTGCTGTATTTTATCGTTGCCGGTAAACTCGCCTCGCGGTTCTTTCATTTATGCCGTCTACAACTGCGCCGGGCGCTCCAAGCTCTCCAACACCGCAGGAGGAAGGTAGGGCATACAAAAAAAAAGCCCTGGTGTTTAGACTACCCCCTCCTGTGTGACCCTTGGATGGTTGTAGTTGTACGAAAAAGTACACTGAAAAGTGTAGTACTCTACATACATACGCTGAGAAGTGAGTACGCGTCTCACCACGAAAAATGCTGGGACTGTCGCCATAATAAATAGGACGAAAACACACACACACACAGTCGACCACCGGACATGGCGCAGGCGGACACATTGTGGCTGTTGGCACGAATAGGGAACATCTTTTATTGTGGATAAAGGATGTTGAATGGTCACGAGTAGACTATATCTCAGAACACTCTACAAGACGTGCCCTTGAGATGGAGTTGGATCCCCACCAGTGCCGACCTCACCCCGTGCCCCCACGAGCGCTCACCACAGAGCACACCACAGATCTTCGTTAGCGGCGCTTTGGGTGTCAACTTGTACGGACTCAGAGGCACGCTCTTGCCGCCTTGCACGACATGGAGATCCCCGTATGCTATCCATCACGACACACTCCTACAGAACCTGAACAGCAACCTGGAGCGTGGCCGCCTTTTCCCGGCATCTTTCTGCAAACGACCAACAGCAGTGTTCCTGTTGACAAGTGTACACTGTGGTTTGCACATCAAGCCAACACCCTTCTTAGTTGAGTTACGCATGTAGCCCTCGTTCGTTGAGGTTGGGCGCAAGGCCCGTGTCTCCCTCGGAGGGTCGAGCAGGGCTCTCCATTGCCCGGCAAACCATATTTTTCCTCATACTTTTTTTTTTTTGAAGATCCTGTGCATGCCTGTGTGTGTCCCTGGTTGGTTGTACATTTAGTCTACAGTACAAGTACGAAAACAGTAAACGGAAAAGTGTAGACTACAGTACTACATGCACTGAAGAGGGCACATCATACCAAAAGTTGGTGGATTGTCGCCGAAAAACTACATAAATGGGACGAAAACAACACACTGACGCACCCACGAACAATGTCTGTTGCAAAAATAGAGCCCCGAAGCTTCACTGTGCCTCCACCATGTGAAACTCCCCCCAAAGGCGAAAGAGGCCCGCAGAAAGCCCACACGCTGCATGCGTTGAACCGGTGCCCGTTGAACGCGCCGTATCATTACATTACGTGCTTGCAAATCGATTACATTTTCTAGTGATGGATGCCCGAAGGACCCATAGCTCACACCGTCGAGGGCGTCAAAAAAACATTAGCGGCCTCTTGAAGATGGAAATGTGGCAGGAACGCGAACAGTCAGGTGATCGGTAACAACTTCCAAGCGCCGGAGTGAGTGCTTGGCTTACCAATATCACCGAGAATCAAGACCAGTTATTGCCGCCAAGTTGTTAGAAGCACCACATACAACGGGGTTCGCTTCAAAGCGCGCCGTACCAACATACGGCGGAACAGAACACTCGGCAGTATAGTTCAGAACACTCGGCAGTATAGTTCTATACCCAGGCAGTCTGTTTGAATGCGTCCGGTCGAACCATGAATGACCAGGAAGGTCGGGTCGTAACACTTGTACCTGCGCTACTGTCGGCACACGCAGAATGCCGTCGACCCACAAAACGTCTTGCCCAACACCAAGCGAGGAGGAAAAAATACCGAACAAGGGAAGCGCCATGCATGTCCATCTACTGGATATGGACCTGGGTAACACCACCCACAAAGTCGTGATAGTTCGGCGGGGCGGCCGAACGGCTCGTGGTGGTGACAGTCGACCCTGGGGGGGGTGCAGCGTACACCGATTCCATCTGGGGGTCAACGGTCCCGGTGCAGCGGCGGTCATGGTTGGTAGCGCTGACCGAGTCGGAGATCGCGAAGCTTCTGTGGACGTTGACGTTGGTGAGGGTCAGAAGCTCAGCGTCCACCTCGTTGATCTTTCGCTGGGCGTTCCTCTCCCTCTCCTGCCAAAGACGAGCAATATGCGTACAGTAGGCACCAACAAGAACGGTGTTAGGCGAGAGAGTGAAATGAAATATTCACGCACAACCCATATTCACACACAACCAGCCGGATCGATGAAGGGTTACTTCCATATTTCACGGCGTTACAGTTGCGATAATGTCTCTTCTCCCGATGATAGATACAGATACCATGACGAACAGGTTGATACTTGTCGGTACGGATCTACCTCAGCCCTGGGCAACTCATGTCTCCGCTCTTTTCTCGGCATGCACCACTTGGCAACACAAAAATATACTAGGAGGTCAGGACGACGAAGACCGTGCGGTAGACTGAGCAGTAGTTCCTTCAGAATGAGAGTTGGACACATCTTGGGATTACCAAAGTGACCACGGAACGGATAGCGGGATGATTTCGTCAACACGTGGGCCATACATGAACAATATCAAAGGAGCGGAACACAACGATCGACAAGGCTATGACCACGACGTCGTAGATGCTGGTCGAGAGTGAACACCCGAACTTGAGGCACGCTACAAGCCACAAGACGTTCTGCCGCAGGTGGTTTCGAGTTCGAAGCTAAAAATGAAGCAAGTTTGGACCTTCACTCAAGCACGGTTGGATCCGTACTCGCGTATCCTTCCAGCCTTTGGTCCACAATACAACCAACATCCTACCGCCCTTTCGCACCTTCATTCACTCGGGAAGGCAGCACTGACAGCAGGTGCAAACGAACACGATCGCCGTCACCGGGAACGCAATCCACGCCACGTTCGCGAGCCCCCGGAACTTGTCCTCGTCCTTCTGCAGTTTCTCCTTCTTCCTCTGCAACTGCTCGACCTTGGCGCTCTTGATGCGGTCATGCTGGATGGACATTTGCATGTCCATGTTAGCCGCCTGGGTGAGGATATCTGGAGTTTTCGTTTGGAGAGATGGGTTGGGCATTTGCGATCAAATATCGCAGAGGACAAAATATTCACAGCTGCGAAGAGTGAGGACAACACACGCGTCGTACTATTGATGTTCAAGTACGTGCGATATCGCGAACGGGGCTTTACCGGGATGTGCCGGAGGGTTTGGCTTGCTCGCCCGAAATCGACACTGTCATTGCTTTCCTGGGTGTTCCAGGTTTCGTCGTCCGTAACGACGGGATTCATTCATTAGGATATCGTATCGAACCTTTCGGTATATCGTATCGACTCGTTTCATCGATATCGATCAATCAAAAGCGGTCATCACATGCAGTAGCATGGTCATGTTTCAGCTTTTAATGCCATGAAGGACGCCACAAATTACGTACGAATTTGCTCAAAGCGAGAAGAGAAGCTGCTACTGAAGCTGCTATCCTTTCATTTGTTTCTCTGTAAGAGTTTTGGCTTCTACGAGAATCTTGAAACACTTGTGGGACTCGGGATACGTGAGATCTTTGTTACAGTACTACGCACATTTGGTTACATGGAATGATAAAACTGTTATGAAATGATTTCCCACACGTTATCCTTCAGATAGCTAGTTGTACACAGCCGGTTTCGGATGTCGTTGTTTTTCGGTAATTGTGAGATGGGAAGGACATAAGGAGCATTTTCCTTTTGTTTTGCTTCCGGCGGCGCCTCCGGCGTAGGCCCCCTTCCAGCAGGGAGGGAGGGGGTTGCTTGGGCTCGCACAGCAGGCTTCCGCGCCTTACCGGGTCATTTTAATCTCTCGCCGGCTCGCTGCGCCCGCGGTCGATCGCATCGACGATTGAATTGATGTTCAACTAGGTTAGGTCTAAAGTACACTCCTTGGATGGGACCAGCGAAAAGAAACAAACGCTCGGTCCAAGAGACTGGAATAACAGCTCTTTGCGAAACGAAACTAAACGAATCGATTCATATACCCATTCAAACCAGGTTTCGTGTTGGTTTGTTTATTTTGCGTACCACGCCTTATTCACAGACGGGCCATATTGTCCCGGACACGACACAACTGCATATTCGGAAGTACGCACGCACTCACTTTGCGTTGCATTTCTCGTATCTGAGGTTTGGGCCGTGCGACTTCCCTGAAGGTTTTCCTGCTGCCGGACGTGCTCGATTTCTTCCGCAGCGCGAACATTCCTAAGCTTTGCCTCGTTGTTGGTCTCCGCCCTCTGCTGCGTCATGGTGGCTCAGCTTGATACCCGAAAAGACCTGTTCACAACTGCGCATGTGTAGTACAGATGAAGCAATATAGGGGCTCAGGTGAGATTCCATACCCACTGATTGTCTGCATATGTGCGGGTACGGAAATACCACCCAACCAAGTACACTGTCTGCGGACGCAAGATGGCAATGTGGGTTGTGGCCCACCCAATTTGGGCATGAAGCAGTTGGTACTCCAGCTTAACAACCGAGGCAAGGTGCGTGGCACCCTGTTGTTTGTTTGTCACTCCAGGAACCTACGGTCTGTCGAATGGTCGAGTGAATCGAAGGCGGTGCAGTAAGGCTTGGGCTACAAAGTATTCTAATGAATTCGCCTCGGCGGGGTCTTGGTCCACCAATGTACTACTTACTGTACATAACTCACACCGTAGAACACCAACTACCCGAAAGGGTAAACACGATGTCGGGAAAAACGTGAGCTCGAAGTATATATAGGTGTTGTCACTGTTGACTATGAGATTTCATAAGCTGTACACATTACAGCAGGTACCGAAAGACTCACTTGTGCGTAATGTTTCGTATCTATTTCAGGCTTGTACTCAATTCAAGTAGGAAGACGGTTCATCATGTAGTCTATGTTCCTAAGTGTGCCCCGGGAAGCTCCACAGACATGGCAGCCTACACGGCATGTTTTTGCCTTTGCTTGTGACAACAGAATTGTAGTTGCTGTTTGTTGTGTAGTTGGCAGTGGTGGCGCAGTTTGGGTAGATACAACACAGAGTGATCATTAGATCCAAAACACAGGCGCCCAAGCTGTCTTCACCTGACGGTTACAGACTTGGAGACACGCCTTCACAATACTGCACAAAACCCATGCAGTAGAATAGAGTCAGTTCTTGCATACAAATCCCAACATGTCCTCTCAAGAACTACGTCATGACTAGCTCTGATACATAAGACACAAAATTCTTTCTCTCAGTGTCCTCTCGAAACAAATACCAGTGTCCTCTCGACAAATGCTATCAACATGAATGCATGCTCTCGAACAATTCAAATTGAATACTCATCACTAACTGCCAGAGTTTTCTGGGCAGCGAATTCCATGTACCGTCCAACCCTTTTAAGACATATGGTCTGATTTCGGTAAGGGGAGGTACTCACACTCCAAGCAAAATAAGGCGGTTCTGCAGGAACTTCACAGCTCCCGAACTTTTGGTCAATATGTCTGCCCTCTGCCTGTTGGTGTCGATGTAAGTTACATCTACCACGTTTTGGTCCTCTAGGTGCCGGACGTGGTGGAACTTCACGTCGATGTGCTTCGTGCGGGGCGTGATTTTGCTACCCTTTGCGAACGCTACGGCACCCGCGTTGTCCTCGTACAATACTGTTGCTTGCTTCTGCTTCATCTTCAACGACTCTAGCAAATTTCGAAAATGTATAACCATGAGGCACGCCTTGGACAGCGCGACGACTTCTGCCTCGAACGTGGAGATGGCCAGCACCGTTTGATTCTTGGCTATCCAGATCACTGGGCCACCTGCGAGATAGAGAACGACACCGGTTGTGGAGTAGCCCTTGTCTTGGTCACCGGCAAAGTCAGAATCCGCGTACGCCGTTAGCTTGTCTCCGCCGTCGGCGTCTTCGGTGTATGTGATCCCGATAGTGGTTGTCCCTTTTAGATACCTGAGAACCCGCTTCAGCTTTGCCATCGCCTTGGGACCCGGTTTCGCCATGCTCTTCGTAAGCACCATCACCGAGTGGGTAATATCCGGCCTCGAACCCCTGCTGAGATACAGGAGACTGCCCGTGGCGGACCGGAAGTACACCGTGTCCTCTGGAGACAAAACCTTCTCCTCCACGGTGCTGATAGGCCCAGCCTCCGCAGGCGTCTTCGTAGAGTGCGCGTCGGCCATTCCGAACTTGTCAAGTACGGCCTTCGCGTACATCTCCTGCGACAGGAAGATCGTTCCGGCGTCGACGTTCCTCTCAAGTGCCATACCGAGCAGGAACTGTGCATCTCCCAGGAACACTGTGTCGAACCGCTCCTTCAGCTGCTCGACGACCCGCATCACCTGCGCTTCGTCGCTTCCCGACAAAAGAATGTCGTCGACGTACACGAGAAGGAGGACCCCTCCCGCGTTAAGGATGTAGAGACAGGGGTCCGCCGTACTCTGAACGAACCCGATCTCCAGCAGGAAGTCGTGGAAGGTGCCGTTCCAGCCCTTCGGAGAGAGGCGCAGCCCGTAGAGCCACGCCTTGAGTCGCCACACTTTTCCCTGTTGTTCCGGAGAGCACTCGAACCCTTTCGGAGGGATGACGTAGATCGGTTTCGCATTTGCAGGAACCCGCGCGTGGAGGAATGCCGTCTTGATATCGGCTTGCTTCAGGCCAAAACCATTCTTGGCTGCGATAGCAATCAGCAGGTGGACGGATTCCATGGACGCCACAGGCGCCGCTTTATCCTCGCCCGTGTCTGCTTGGTGAAAGCCTTGGACCACAACGCGGCTCTTCAGTCGAGCAAGCTCGCCATTCTTGTACTTCCGCTTATAAAGGTACCTTGACGGGATCGGCTGGTCCTGGGCACTCGTCGGCGGCTCGACCCAGTCGTACACATCAAGGTCGACAAGCGACTGGTTTTCGTTCCGCATGGACTCTTGCCAGTCTAGAGCATCCTGCCCACGGATCGCTTCGTCGTAGCTCGAAGGGTCGGGAGCCCTGTAGCCCACTTCGCCAGGGTTGCCAGTCCCGTTGTTGCCAAGCGAGCTTCCGGTGAGCAGGGAGCGTTCCACTTGCTCGAAGGCCTCCTCCTCCGTGGCAAAGGTAAACAGGTTCAGACGTTCAGTCGGCTTGGGGTTCCTGGTGCTGCGACGGGGGCCCGGCTCTTGCGCCTGAGGCGTGGGCTCCGGCTCGTTATCCTTCTGCTCGTCTTGTGGCTCCACCACACTGTCGACGTCGTCATCAGACTCTTCCGGACCGGGATGGTAAATCATTGGAGTCTCTGGCAGCGGATCATGCCCTGCCTTGGGGGGAACCACGTCGCGCGGGGCTTTCTCGCGAATAGAAACTTCGGCGGAGTTGGTGATCTTAAACTTGTCACGAGGGGACCATAGCCTCCACGACCGGCTTTTAGGGTTGACACCGACCAGAAACATCTTCTCAGCCCTGGCAGCCAGTTTGTTGGGCCTGTCCCCCGCTTCCACGTGCTTAAAGCATACCGAACCGAATTCGCGGATGTGGTGCAAGCTGCCAAGCGGTTTGTTCTCCCATACCTCAAGTGGTGCCTTGCCGCCCAAGACGTCCGTAGGCGTGCGATTCAGTATATAGATCGCGTATTGGAACGCTTCGGCCCACAGACTCTCCGGTAGATGAGGTGCCCCAAGAAGAAGGCGCCGCGTTATGGCTGCGACCGTGCCAAAGCCACGCTCGGCGACGGCGTTGCCTTGAGGCATGTACGGGGCGTTGGTCTCGATTTTGATTCCAAGTGATGCTGCCAGCGCCGCGAACCTTCCCTTGAACTCGCCCCCTCCGTCGCAGTGTAGCGTGGTGATACACAGTCCTTCCGGGTCGGCTTCCTCCTTGACAACAGTTTCCAGCGCCTCAGCAGCTGCATCTTTGCTCTTGATGGGAAAACCAAACCTCATGCGGGTATTGTCACACGTGAACATCACCGCACCCTTGTGTCCACCGAGAGATTTTACGGAGTGCGACCAGGTGTCTACGTGCAAGAGCGCAAGACGAGTGCCGGCGCGAGGTCGGTTAGCCGGTGGGTGACTAGACTTCTTGCTGTTGCCGACAGCACATACCTCGCAGTCGCCAGACTCGATGTTTTGGTCAAATTTAACCCCAGAATGCTCCTTCCTCGCCAGCTGCTGGAGGGCGCGCGGATTACAGTGGCCCATCCTCCGGTGCCACATGTGTGCATTCACCTTCGTCTTGAGCAGCATCGCGGTCCCGTCCATCCTCATGTCGTCGAGGACAATGTTCACGCTGTACATCCGCGAAATCTCCGTGGAGATGGGGAAGGCCTGATCGCTGCTACGGAGTGCTGGAGGAGTAGACAGAAGATCGCACATCACCCCCCTTTCCTTCAGGGCTCCGACCGAGAGGATGTTCGCTCCTAGGTTGTCAACCAGTAGTACTTGTAGCTCCACCGGGACGAGTTGGTTCCGGTCGTTTGAGATGCCGAAACGCAGGATACCTTTCTGAGCCGCGCTCGACGTTCCACACGAACCTTTGATCCTCACGTTGCAGTCCGACTTCTCGGTCACGTGGCGAGATGCGTAGGAATCCGCGCTAACCATGTGGCTAGACGCTGCTGTGTCTACGAACATAATGGTGCTCCTGGCGGACTCGTCCTTAACCTGGTACACACTGGTGTAGGCAACTATATCTGTTGCATCAGCAAGCGGGTTCTGCACCTGAACGTCACTAGCAGCATCAGCAGCACGCTCCTCGGGCAGCGGCACAGCAGGGGTATCCAGCACTTGCTCATCGTCGGCAGCGCGCTCCTCTGGCAGCGCCGCGGCAGGCGCCTCCGCCACCTGCTTCTCAGCAGCAGCGCGCTCATCGGGCAGCGCCACAGCAGGCGCATCCAGCACCTGCGCATCATCAGCAGCGCACTCCTCTGGCAGCGCCGCAACAGGCGCCTCCGGCACCTCCTCCTCAGCAGCAGCGCGCTCCTCCGGCAGCGCCGCGGCAGGCATTTCCAGTGCCTGCGGATCGTAGATGACAAGACCTTCCTGCACGCCCACGGCGGCGCGCTTCTCCGGCAGCGCCGCGGCAGGCATCTCCAGTGCCTGCGGTTCTCCAAACGAGATGGAAAAGTCCTCCGGCTCACCGCTGGATTCCTCGACTCGGGTGAACCATGCCTGCGTGGACGGTTCCGGCGCGGCGGCATTCGCCTGTTGGGCGTTATCCTCTCGCACGTTCTCCAGGCGAAGGGGGCAGCCGTCCCATCCGTGCTCTGTAGAGTTGTGGCAGTACTTGCAGCGTCCCTGACGGTCTCGGCCCTTTTGGTGACTTTTGTTTCCGCCTTTATTGGACTTGTTGCCGCGGCCTCGCCCGCGCACATCTTGCGCGCCTCCAGGGCTATCGCCTCTGGAATTTCCGGCGGAGGAGCCGCTGCTGCCGTTGTCTCCGGTCGGTTGGCTGCCATTGCCTTGGCGGTTGCGTCCGCCGCGTCCGCCACGTCCGCCTTGCTTACGGAAACTACGTGCACCCCCGTGCACGACCGTGTTGTGGGCACGGCCGTGGGCAGAAACCTTCCCCCTGATCTGCAGTGTATGGTACGCGGTCGCTCGGTGCGCGACATTTTCGAAGTCAAGATCCAACTCCGAGCCATCGGCTTGTCCGCACACCAGCGCGGCCTTAAGTTGGGCGTAGTGCTGGTCAGGAAGCGCGTTCAACAAGATATGCGTCTGGCGGGCTGGTACGACCTTGTCTCCAAGTGACTCGAGTTCGGAACTGATACGACGCAAGTCTTGGATTGCACGCGCCGGGTCGTAATCGTCCTCGGCAGTGACCGCAAGTGATCCTAACTCTCGCTGCAGTTCATGCATCCGATAGGTGCCCTTCTGGCGGTACTTCGCTTCTAGGGCAACGTATGCCGCACGTCCGTCCCCATGCTCACCAACGCGAGCGGGGCCGAAGGCTCGAACGACTTGGGAAGCAGTGCTCGAGAATCCATCGGCGCAGTCGGACGTAGCAAAGTTTAACCGTGTGTACAGTTTGCCGTTCTTACGTTTGAATTCCAGCGTCGTCCTGTCGAACGCAGCACGATCCGAATCCGCGCTGCTGGCCGCCGATGCCGGGGCGGTCTCCGTCCCAGCCATGATGTCGCCTAATCCTTGCTCATCCATGATGGAGTAGAACAGGCCACTCCAGCCGTGGAAATCTTCCGGCTTCCCGCTAAACGGGACGTATCCTTGTTTCAGGTAGTTCGTGGCGGACGCCATGCTGCTGCTGGGGTGTGACTCGATGTGAATTACCTACCAAACGCTAGGCTCATGACCTGACAACAGAATTGTAGTTGCTGTTTGTTGTGTAGTTGGCAGTGGTGGCGCAGTTTGGGTAGATACAACACAGAGTGATCATTAGATCCAAAACACAGGCGCCCAAGCTGTCTTCACCTGACGGTTACAGACTTGGAGACACGCCTTCACAATACTGCACAAAACCCATGCAGTAGAATAGAGTCAGTTCTTGCATACAAATCCCAACAGCTTGCACTCTTCGGCAGGCCGGAAAGCTCTATTAGTCTGCATGCTATCTGTGCACCAACCAGAATGCACGCCGCCGCCCCCTCGAAAAAAGGCAAACTCTCTGAAGACTCGACTGCCGCTGCTGTAGCGTTGCCGGTCCAATAGACGCCATCTAGGCTTGCTCCTGTTCTATGGAAGGGGTAACCATATCCCAAGAGAGAGCAAAGCCCGATATCGCAAGCTCCCCAACAGATGCACAGGGTGGCTACGGTATGCGTAGCACCGAGGGATCAACCCATGATTGACTCAAAATCCATGAAGACAGCGGTTACACGCGGCGTGAGTTTCGCCGCTTGTTTTGATTCCCGCCGTCTCCTTCTGCCTGGTACAGCAGCATCTGCACATCTTGCTCTCGAAACAAACCACAACGACTACATGCATGAATGATGATCCGTTTCCGACCAGCAGTAGACACTGCTGTACACCTTGGAGCTGCTGTTGTCGCTGCTTTAGCCTACAGCTATTGCCTCATCAGTTCAGCTACGTCCCGTTCAACGACACCTGTGGCTTCCCTCACACAGACGGCATCACGCAACAGCTATGTGCATCTCCACCGTCCGAAAGGGAGGCAACAGGATGAGAAGGTAAGGACCATCGAGTACTGTAGTAGTATGGACAGGGTGCTACAAAGCAAACACGCATGTGTTATGCGGCAGTTGTTGTCCGCAGCAAAAAATACAGCAGTACATTTGGTTATTTATATGTTGATCAATCGTTACAACCATCGGAATGACGAAAGTCATCATCCGTAAAAATTGGAACGATACAGAGAAGATTAGCATGGCCCCTGGAGCAAGGATGACACGCACGAATCGAGAGGTGTATCGAAACTTTTTTTCCGTTTCCAACGCTCATCGCTGCCGCCCTTGTGCTTCTTCTTCGTCGAGCAATCAATCGAACACTGCTGCTGTTGCTTACTTAGCTTTGTCTTCACGTGATGTTTATTTTCAGCAACATTGTGTGGACGTAATATGCTTAACATACATACATACGTTTGTATAGCATCCGACTGCCCGGCTGATGATGATTGATGATGATGCTTGTTACCTGTTCGCCAGGCAAGCAAGCCAAGCGCCGCACCGTCCCCGCCCCAACGCCCCCCACCTACCACCCTTTGTGGGAGGATGATCTTTTTCTACGCGAATGTATGTGATTGTAATCCCATGTGCACACGAGCGACTTCGTAAGTCGCGAGGGAAGGGATTGCTGTACCCTTCTCGCGATAAAAATATCTCAGACAGGAACCGCAGGAGGGGGTCCAACCCTCCCCTCCTACCCCCTCCTATGTGACCCCGGTTGGTTGGGTCGTCTAGCTGGTAGAAGTGGAGGATAGGGGCCAGGGGGGCAGACGAAAGAGTCCAATGATGGGAGACAAAAATATATATATGTATGTGCTGGGGCATTTGGGGGTCTGCACTTACTTTTTGATAAAAAAAGGTGCCCGCAGTTTTCTGATTGTTGACCATGTTTTAGTTGGAAAACAAAGCACACGTACAAGAGTGAGTGCGAAAGAGAGGCACACGTAAGGTCTCGAGAGACCACACCTACTTCTACCTCTACTAAGTAAGCCATGAGGGTAGCCCGCGACAGGGTGGTGGCCACAGACAGGGTCATAGAAGGGTTGATTGGTGGTCGCGGTGCGGCCGGCAGGGCAGGTTTTTAGCCATGGACCTTGAAAGATCCGTCGTCAGAAGCTGCCTAAACTCCTCTATTTTCAGTACAACATTCAAATTATCTAGGAAGAAAGAAAATGATCTATGAAATGGCCCACAGCCGGTAATCGTAGGCGATTTTTTTGTCGCGGCGCCTAGAGAAAAAGGTAGAAAAAAAGAAAGCAAGAAAAAGTCCGGGCCTTTCTCGCGCCAAACACCCAATATCTTGACGACCGCGACGTCCATTTACAAGCAAGCGGATTGTTGCATTAGATGCGGAACTTTGATCATTGCAGCCTGTACCACGACGAAATCACATGCATTCGGCCGCAAATTACTCACGCTCAATGGAGAGGTTGATCGTAAAACCACCTCTAAAACCACCTCTCATTGAGTGTGCGAAGGTGTACCGATTCAGGTAAGAGTCAATCGACGGATACCCTGCGCATCGGGTCCTCCTCAACACTCTCCACCCACAGAATTTACCCTCAACAACTGGGAACCTCTTGTGGTCAGGATGGGTAATTCGATGGAAGTGTCACAACAAGCTTTTTTGGTGGATCGTCACAAGGTTCTTTGTAGGATCGACTCCAGTCCAACCAAGAGGTGTTCTCAGGATTGACACACACTTGTTGTTGTTGTTGTTTCTCACATTAGCGCTGTATGTAGTCCACAAAAATGGGGAGCCCGTGGTCTCAAAACCCGGCACATACGACGCCGCGAGAAAACAAAAAAAAACAAAGAAAGGGTACAAACCACTCGGAAGAACACAAAATGATAGAAAGAAAAGAACAGGTATCGCACCGACCGTTCGAGAAAAGAGCCCTCGGACACCGATCAAAATCAAACAAAACAAAAATAACAGAAAAATAAAGGAGGACGCTTCCCACACCCGCCGAAAGAAACAATCAAAGGGTAACGTACCAGCACCAGGCACTGCGCACCAGGGCATGGATGGGAGTAACGAAGGAAACAGGGCAAAGAGGCGGCAGATGGGCAGACAGCCAGACGTATAAAAACAAAGGCAACAGCAAAGCGAGATCAAGGTACCCAACACAGCAGAGAGAGTAGGCAGGGAGGTCATGAAAAAAAGAAACACAGCACAGAGGCCGAAGGCAATAAAAAGGACATACATACAGGAGTATAGCATACGGCAGGGAGGGAAACAGGGCTCTGTGTCCTTGGGAATGTGTCCAAGTCAGGAGAGAAAGTGTGCACCCAGGCAGATTCGAATCAGTATCCAGCTAACGCCATGGGCGAAGGTATACCGATTCAGGCAGGTAAAAGTCAATCAATTGATGCCCCGCGAGACGGGACCCCCTTAAGGGTATGTATACATACGTTGCAATCTGCGGACCACAAATAATATCTGCATTACGCTCGTCCGGGACACGTGTCCTTTGACGAACGCAGCTTTAAACTTACCAACATAGCCGTGGAAAGCTTTGGCTGCCTTGTAGAGGAGGGTTACGAGTTCATTGATGAACTTGCCACACATGCTGTGGGAGGAAGGGACGGAGGAACGATGGCTCTGAAAGGAGACTTCAAGGAACGACTTCTTCAGATCGTTTTGGTGGCTACACAGGTGGCCATATCTCGGCGAGTGCAGAGGTACAAGCTCGCATTGCGCGGGCGTCAAGACGCCGAAAACAGGCGAACAAGATCGACCTCGGACCAGTCAACGCCAATGATGTGGGGATGGAGTGTAGACGCATCGTAGAACGCGTTTTCGTTTGAAGTTGGCGTCTTGTTTGAGAGTAGATGTGACAGATTTACGTAGAATAATAGGGTAAGATGTTATCATGAACGGAGAAGAAAGGGCTTTTCCAACACGGAGATGTAGCATGGATCAAAGCATTTGTTGGATTTCAGCTTTTACAAGAGGACATCAACGCAGTACAGAACCTATTAGATATATTGGGGGTACTCGTAGCATAGTATGACGGTTGAGATGTTATGTACGTACGTACGAAAGTTACAGTGACGAGATGCGGAAGAATAGGAAATTTCTACATATATTCCTTGGTTGCGAGAGGTATTTGGTGAAGGTTCAGAGAGATTCGTT